TAATGCTTACTTATATACTTGAAATAAATAATTTTAACTTGCATTTCAGTTAAGGACCTTCATTATCATTTTGATTGATTAGGTTTTGTTTACTTTTCATATATGTAATTTCATTTTGTAAACATATATAAATGTTGTCGTTCATTTTATGAACTCTTATATTTTGTCTATAAAATACGAATAATGAAAGTTACTGTATTTATAATAATCTGTTTGAAAACATTTAAAATTCTACGAATAATTCATTACATTAATGCCATGCACCACTAGTTAAACCTTAAAGTTGACTCAGCGTTGTCCGACTCGTTTTTAACGCACGCTTATCAATGCGGGAAACACCACAACGAAGTATTCTGGGATCTTCTTGTATACTTTATATACTCCTGGCTTCTCTACAACTAATTCTAGTCTTATTGCAACGTTCGCTGAAGACATTGATATTCTTGCCTGCCACACTAATTCACAAAAAAACATGGAGAAGACTTACTCATGCAGAAGGTAAGCGAAATGAAAATTTATATTGCACTCTTAGCAGAACATTACAAACAACTAAATGGTCGGCCATGGAAAACAGGCAGTACCACAAATGTTGTTATTTGGTCATGTGCCAAATTTTGTTTTCAGAACGCCGTCAATAATAGCAACCCCTGATTTGTAGCAGCACCATTAGATGGCATAAATTTGTACAGCTGTTACGCGCCACCTAGTTTTACTATATCTGATTATGATGTTTTCTTAGATTGGTAGAGGATGCAATACAACATTACCTCGTAGCTATAGCCACTAACTTAAACTCATGGGCAGAATGGGATTATAGGGGGACTAATGCAAGAGGTAAAGCACTTTTAATTGCATTTACTTTTGTTATCAAAAACCTCAAAATTGGTATTAGATATCTATATTGCTAGTGACCCCAATGCAATCATCTGGAAAATATCAAAAAAATAAAAATCTTAGAAGACTTAGTTTATAGCGATTTAAGGCCATTGGGTGAAAAATAAAATCGTTTGATGAAAGTGCCTTGAGAATAGCCTTAAATTATTTCAGAATTACCTATTATTTCAGAATACTCTAAGGTGCGTATTAATGAACTGATGCTGGCAATAAGCAAAGGCTGCGATGTGAGTATGACCCGTGAACAAACTACAAATAGGCACGTCGGCAATTAAATGAACACCAAGTTGAGGAAAATTCATGGAAAGGCATTTTAAGATCGTAATGTCTTGCCTCAAAAGTCACCCAATTGGTTTACCAACTTGTCCACTACTCCTAAATAAAATATTTCAATAATTCATACTCTACTCCTAAAGACAATATTTCCACCGCAACTTGATTTAACTACCAGGTAACACATGTTAGTCTAAATAATATCAACCTATAATACTGGAAGAGCTGATGGAAGCATCAGGTTGGAAATAATTGGGCACCGGGGTTAGATGGAATTTCTAATATTGCTTTGAAAGCATCAATATTGATTTTTCCGACAATATTTCTGAGCATTTATGATACAAGTTTAAAAGAACGGGTTTTTAAGCGAAGATGGAAGCAATAAAGATTAGTATCCTTTCTTTAGTTTCCTTCTCCTTCTCTCGAAGGAAAGAAAACACCCGACGAACCGTCATCCTACCGTCCGATATGCATGTTGGATGCAGCGGGTAAAATTTTTGTAAGAATAATTGCAGCTGTTGATTCACTATTAGCAGACAATTAATATGATGTTTTTAAAGGATGATCAACTATTGATACTATAATACTTGTAGTTGAAACTGCAATTTCTGGAACCAGATGGAATGGCGATACAAAATAGAACTATTTAGAAGCTACAGTAGACATCAAGAATGCTTTTAATGTCGTAAACTTTGATTGCAGTACGAATGCACATCGTGATAAGAACGTGCGAATGTACCGTTATAGTATAGTCGCAAGCTGCTTTACAAGTAGAATACTGACGTACGATGGCACAAAAAATGTAATATAACCGGGCTTTGTTCTATGCCATTTGCTATGGAATATCATGGTTGATGGCTTATTGGTACTGGAGATTCCACCATGTGTCAAAATAGTACAAATACAAATATACAAATTATGTGGTCATAGTGGTTGTTGCCAAATGCATTGATGAGATTGTCAGTTTATTAGACACAACTTTGGTAAAATTAGTCGCTAGATAGATACAATAAGTCGGCACAACAAAAGAGTAAAGCTATTCTTATTACAAGTAGAAAAGTAATAGAGAAGCTAAAGATAGAAAATCTAGAGATCGCATCAAAACCTTACATTTTTTACCTAAAAGTAATACTTGATTCACGATTAAATTTCAATCCGTAGATGGAATATGTTAGCGCAAAGGCATCAGTAGTCAGAACAAGTCTTGTCCTGCTGATTCCTAATATTGGAGGTCCAAATCAAAGAGAAGGATGTTACCATCTACAGTGGTTACCTGAATGCTGACATATGGTATTTTCATATGGGCTGATGCTGCCTTTAAAGTTGCTTGTGCATTTCGCACATTATCAGAGGAAGCAGTGTGCGTTATTTAAGGAACTCTGCCTCTCATAGTCTTAGCAGATGAAAGACAAATAATTTACCTACAAAGAAATCAACAACTGAGTCCAGAAAAGTTGATAATAGAAAAACGGCAGAACAGCATTGACCGGTGACAGCAACAGTGAAGTGAGATGCCGCAGTGAAGGGCAGATGGGCACGTCGTCTCATTCCAATATCAAAGTCTAAAAACCCAGTCTGGATGCGTAATCGCATTTCCTCCGCTATACAAAAAAAACTCCAATCCTTCATATGATCCACGACGACGCTTTAAAGGCAAAGAAATTTCTATGAAGCATGAACCGAAAAATGGATCAATAAAGCTAAATCTGTTCATGTAATATGAACTCCCAATAGAAGTAAATGTTCTAGTACATCTTTTCACAGAATTACAATACCATCACCCTGCACTGGTAAATATCCAGGATTCTTCTTGATTAAAATATTGTGGAACAAATTGAAACACATAAGATTAAGGGTCAAAACATTCACATGGCTGATTGGCCATAATTTAAAACTATCTTTGGAGAGCTTGGTCTATAATCTTTCGTCCAAATTGGAGTTACGGTATCTAGCTCTGTCTAGATAATGATTAACTGATTTTTTATTTTCGTGTTATCTTAAAAAATAGAAGCCGTAGTACTTATAGTGGATGCTATAGCATTCATCGTATATAATGATTAAAATATGATAATTTGACTATCTTTATTAACGATGTTTAATCAATTTTTTTATATCTCAACCAATTTAAAAATAGAATGACTATCTATTATTTTGTATTATACCTATATGAGACTTTGTCCGCGAACGTGTTAAGAGCTTATCTCATAATATAATCTGCCCGTGGATAAAGATAATCTGCCCATATGATGAATTGTTTAGGATCTATAGCGTAGATATAATCTATGCTATTTATCTACTCAAGGTGAACTTATATTTTCTAACTATTTTTAACTTCCCGTTATAGTGATGGGCCGAAAATGAAACTTTTTGCATATCACCACGTTTTGAAAGTTTCTGAACTTTTTGGCATGGCTCAGAAAAATGGACGTGTGTGTATATGTATGTGTGTATGTATGTATAAATACAATTTTGCGTCCACGTTTTCGGGCGCCCGGACCAACCGAATTTTGAATGGTTTAAAAAACATTCGATTCCTATTGATAGGGAGATGTGCTGATTAGTTTTTGGCAAAGGCAGGTCCAGCCGAGTTTTTGAGAGAACCGAGCGTCCGATTTGAATGATCCAAAAAACATTCAATTCGTAATGACGAGGAGATGTGGTGATTAGTGTTTAGCAAAGACAGTTCCGAAAGTTTCGAAGATACCGAGCAAAATGTGTAAAAAATGGCAGTTTTTGAGAGAAATAAGCATCCGATTTGAATAATTTAAAAAACTTTCTGCTTGTGTTGACAAAATAATTGCTTTTGAAAAAAAAATCATTTCAATTTTTTTTAATATCAAAAATATTAAATTTATTATTATTAATAATAAATTTATATAATAAATATTTAATAATTATATTTAATAATTAATAATAAATATTTAAATATATAATTTTAACTTTGTAATTCAGTTTATACAATTCTTATAAATATTAAATATTCCTCGAACATTTCGTTACAGTACGGAAAGTTCCAGCAATTTTCCGATTTTGCGTGTTTTTATATATTTCACAAATAAATTTAAAATGAAGATTTCTTTTTAAATATATATTCGTATTTACTAAAAAAAATCATTAGCAGAAAACAAGAGTAATTTTTTTATTGAGGCAGTTAGTTAACGTATCGATAAAAAGTGTATCTACGCGTGTTTGCATTACCGATTGTTGAATGAGGAAAACGATGTTATGTATCAATATTATTAGTAGCGAGTTACCAATGGAAATACAAAGAAACTAATAATACACTATGGAAACTTTCCAGTCATAATGATAACATTGTCAGATATGAAAAGTTGTCAAAATTACCTATAGCAATAATATTGTTTATGTTTTTGTATTATATAGGGCCTGATTCGCTGATTATATTGTAATTTATCCTCAAAGCAAACCTTCAATTTCTTTGGTAATGGGTGAATTGCGATTGATTTTTATGACGTGTTTATATAACATTTAAAAGTTTCATATATTTTTGTTATTTTAATATTTAAAAAAATATTTTTGATCAAATTTTTAAGTTGCACATGATATTTTACTTTACTATCAAAAACATAATTTAAAAACCGAATTGTTTTAATTTACTCACTTACTATTTTGTATTTTTGATTGTATTCCCTTTTATGCTATCTAGGGCATTTATTATCTTGCATTAAAGAAAATAAAGGCAATTGCTGTAAGCAAAGTAACTGCAACCTTTAATATGAATTTTTTAAATCCATTATTATAAATGACAATAATTGTTACTCATTATAGTTTATACATCAATGAATAGCTTACAGACCAACATGTTTCCGCTAAGAGATAATATAAACAAATTGTATTTACTTTCATTTTGAAAGCATCATTTTACAATAGTAAAGATTCTTTATTCCTATATACAATGAGTCATAAAACTGGCCAAGTTGGCCGTAAAAAAACTCAAGTGTCATTTGTGATACGTGAAGCTGAAGAACGAAGACATAGAGCAGGTATTAATGCCTTGCAGCTTGATAGTAATATGTCTCGCTTATATTCAGCTGGACGAGATAGTATTATAAGGGTATGGAATTGTTCACAAAATGTCCAGGAACCCTACATTACTAGTATGGAACATCATACCGACTGGGTCAACGATATTGTTTTATGTGGTGGTGGAAGAAATTTAATTAGTGCTAGTAGTGACACAACTGTGAAAGTCTGGAATGCACATAAAGGATTTTGTATGTCTACACTTAGAACTCATAAAGATTATGTTCAAGCTTTGGCTTATGCTAAGGACAAAGAGCAAGTGGCAAGTGCAGGTCTGGACAAAGCAATATTTCTGTGGGACGTTAATACATTAACAGCACTACAGCTAGTAATAACACTGTTACTACATCAAGTTTATGTGGTAATAAAGAATCAATTTACAGTTTAGCAATGAATCCAAGTGGAACAGTTATAGCGAGTGGATCAACTGAAAATGTGATACGATTTTGGGATCCTAGAACATGTCTAAGGCTAATGAAACTCAAAGGCCATTCTGATAATATTAAAGCCCTAGTTGTTTCAAAAGATGGTAACCGATGTTTATCAGGAAGTAGTGATGGCACTATAAAGCTTTGGTCAATAGGAGAGCAAAGATGCATGCAAACAATACATGTTCATTCAGGTGCCGTGTGGACCCTGCTAGCAACAGAATCTTTCAGTCATGTTATATCTGGTGGTAGAGACAAAAGAGTATATATGACAGAATTGAGAAACACAGATCATAAGGTATTGATTTGTGAAGAAAAGAATTTTATTTTTAAATTTATGCTTTTCAGTTGACTACCAAAGTGTGTGGGTTACTACAGCAGATTCAGATATTAGATGTTGGAAATTACCTCGAATTTCACATATTAGCCAAGAATGTGCTAAATATACTCCCAGCTTAATAATGACAATTAAAGGAGCTGCCGCAATAAGACAATATCACATTTTAAATGATAAGAGACATGTTCTAACAAAGGATTCAGAATTAAATGTTGCTTTATATGATGTACTGCAAGCATCAAAAGTTGAAGATTTGGGTCATGTGGATTTCGAGAAAGAAATTACTAATAGGTTTAAAAAAGTGTATGTGCCAAATTGGTTTAATGTAGATTTAAAAATAGGTATGTTATCTATAAATTTAGGACAGGATGAGGTTGATTGTTTTGCAGCCTGGGTTTCTGCGAGAGATGCGGGTTTGCCATCCTCAGTTGAACCTGACAAGAAAGTGAATTATGGCAACTTGTTATTGCAAGCTTTATTACAACATTGGACTTCTTTAAATATTGAAAGGGAAATTTATGAACAAATAACAGTACCAAATCATACACCATTAATATTCAGTGAAGTTGGAGGCCGCACCTTATATCGCTTGCTGGTGAAAGATGCATCAGGAGAGAATGAATCATCTCTTCTGAATGATACTATACCACAATGGGTAGTAGAAATTATTGTTAATCGTGATATACCAAAATTCAATAAGATATCATTTTATTTATTACCTCATCCAAGTGTTTCTCCGCATATATTAAAACAGGATAAACTTAAAAGAGACAGACTTGTTGCAAATGATTTTATTCAATGCAGAAAAGTTGCTGAGCATGTGATAGATAAGGTTTTGAATGCTGAAGTTTCATCAGGCAGTCCACAAAATCAATCTGATAATAGAACAATGACCACATCTACTAATAATTCTACAAGTGCAAATTTAATGGTGATGTCTAGTGCTCCTAATAATACAACAAATTTCGGTGTAGGAGAAGGTGATGGACCACTTCCAGAAGAGAGAGTAGAATTACTTTGTAATGAACAAGTACTTTCTCCAACAATGGATCTGCGAACTGTAAGACATTTTATTTGGAAATCTTCTGCTGATCTGATGATTCATTACAAACCAATTAAATGAATGTATGACTGTGAATATGTTTATAAAAAAAATATAACAAAGTGACATTTAAATAATAAATATATTTATTACATGGATTTATAGAATACATATGAAGCAGGTCTCTAATTATCATAGTTAATATTATTTTATCAATATATAGTGTTTTTGGGCTATTCTCAACTAGTTCTGTATTGCTTGTATATTATATATAAAAATCGTGAAATTATTATTCTGAAACTGTCATTGGAATATATTGAAAACTAATAAAAGTGATGATGACAAACTTCCCAGTGAAGCAATGTTGTTTTTCTTACACTAAGTCAATCAAACAATATATGCAATATATTAGAAAGAACAGAACATATTATATTCTCACATTGTCTGAGGAAACAACTATTCCACAAATCATTGTGAAAATTTCAATAAAATTTAATTCAATGTCTATTTAAGATATTGTCAAGGTATTTGCCTGCAGATTATATCTGTAAATCTATGAAAAAATAAGAGAGAAAGGGATATGGCTAAGGTAAATTTTAGCTTTGACAGCTTGCTGCATCAATTATTTCGATAAGAGTGAAGGGAGTGAAGGGTTATAATCATGTATTCATCCTATTCTAATATTGACTAGGGTGATAATTTTTGGCTGTGTGTGATAAATAAACATCCAGTATCCAGACATAGATAAATAAGTATCCATGCTTATTTGATAAGAAAATCTGCTCAAAAAATTAAATGATTTTTTTGAATATTGGTACTTTGATTTTACTTGTTGTGCTTGTGCTTCATATGCCTTGTTAGGGTAGAGTCACTTGTCAATTGTACTATTTGCTAAATTGTTACCTCGTACACGTGCATGAGTATATAAATGTTGAATTGATAAGTTATTGGATAAATCCTTTTAATTGCCATGTGAAAGCGCTTATAAATATGTCAAATCGATCTATTCGCTCTTTGTCTTATCAAAATCGTTTGAATGATAGCGTATTTTGTCCAATTTTCTACAAAGAAATTGCAAATATAATGCACGGCGCTGGAGATAGTCCTACGCCACATGAAGAACCGTTATTTTGGTTGAAAAAATTGTAAAGCATGAATTATCTTCTATAATAGACGAAGCTTTGCATGTGTTAGATAAAACAACTGATCACGATAATTTAGTTATAACGCATGATAATATATTTTTTATATTAAGAAAAAATCCCTGCCAGTTAATGCGAATTCAAAAATATCTAAAGGATCTTGATTCCTGTAAGAAGATAGAAAAGAATATAACAGGTAAAAGTGAAATTAATCACTATACCAAAGATGAAATATTTAACATTGTTTCTGAAATGCAAGATTTGTATAACTTGCCCGATTATTGTGATAATGATTATGTAAATTTTAGAAAACTGGATCGAGCGGAGAAAATGTCGAGGTATATAAGTATATCTAGTGTGCATAAATTATAACCATGTAGTTTAAAGTTAAGTTTTTTGTTCTTCACAATTTTAGAATACTAAATAATGTGCAATATGCTGCATACGCTGTTGCTCGTCAAACATCTTTTTGCAACAATTCAGCGAAGGCTGTCATGGCTAGAGAACAGCTAATGAAGTGGCTTATACCCAACAATGATGTAAGAATCTTGAATATTTTGAATATGCTCACCTAATTATTAGAACAAGGTTTTTCACATCAATTTGTGCCTTTGAATCAGTATATTATTTGGAAAATTTAACTAAATTTAATAACACTTAGCTATAATAAATTGGCGATGTTAAAAAACTCAAGTGGCTAAATAAGTTTCACAGAGTTGTCACAGTTGTCAAAGATATTGCACAAATGATCTATTAGCATTATAGGTTTAGTGCATTTTTTATTTTTTTACTTTCAATTCAAATTTTTACGAGGTGTTAAAAGTACCCGGAATTTTCGTTTTTTCAAAAAATATTTATTTATTCGTCTACATTAATGTGGTCCCCTTCAAGTAGTCCCCCCCAGATATAATACACTTATGCCAGCGTTTTTTCCAATTTTCGAAGCACCCTTGATATTCACTTTTTGATATGTCCTTGAGCACTCTCAGCGATTTTCTTCATCGAGGAAAACCGCCGTCCTTTCATGGGTCTCTTCAACTTTGGGAATAGGAAAAAAGTCACACGGAGCCATATCTGGTGAATTTTTGCACTTTGCAACACTTTATTTCATTTTTTACGCAAAATTTAATACAAATTCTTTGACTTTTCAATTTTCCATTGTAAAAATCGCCGAGCTCAGAAAAACACGTCGAACCTTAGCGACTACCACAGACAAAGTAAACAGTGAATATAGCTGAAAATTTCATCATACTTTAGGGGCATGTATACCAACCAATAAAAAAAAATTTGACAATCAGACACTCCAGACCCGCGAAATTTAATTATTAGTAATTCCGGGTACTTTTTGAACACACCTCGTATATGTAATGAATTCAAATTAAAAAGATGTATTTCAATCTCAACATTTATATATTGAGAGTAAAATCATTTGTGTTGGTTGTTTTGGTGGAAAAATTTACAAATAAAATTAAAATTATGAGCCATTCTTATAATTAGTAGTTTATTCAATGCATATAAATCAATAAGTTGATTATGGTCAAGGTAATTAAATGTTGAGCTTATTGATTTCTAGCCCTTTTATAAAATACACATATATACACATATCAAATATTGATAAAAATATTGCTTACATGAATGCATTATCTATTGCAGGTTAAATTGATTGGCTTGAGTTTGCAAATAATAGGCTTTCTCTTGCATGAAATTGTAACTGTAATAGTTGATATGGCTCTGCTTATCAGACAAGAACAGGGCTTGCAAGATTGCAGTCAAATTCGGCCAATATCTGAGCGGGAGATCACTGAAGCTGTACGACGATATTCAGTTTTACATTGTGGAATAGCCTGTCAACATTCAGATTTTAATAATACATCACGAACAACTGTATTTCTTTAATAATGTGGTAAATTTTATATATTTATATAAACATTTGTTTCAAATAATATATAATTGAAATTATGTACTCAAAACTTGAACACTTGTTTATTATTGAGTTTTCCTCTTATTTATTGTAAAAAAATATTGAGTTTTCCTCTTATTTTATTGTAAAAATTTAGTTAGAATTAGATTAGACCGTGGTAATTTTGCAGTCCATTAAACAAAAATGGGTGTCAGTCAATGCAGGCCTAAAAATGGAATAATGGCACATACTTGTATTATACTGATATGCAAAAGATTTGGAAACAGAGAGAGAAAATGTTAAAACAAATTTTATGACAAAATTCTAATGAAATCGATTGATTAGAATTACATAATTGAAGTAGAATATAAACAGCAATATGTCAATAATATGGTGAGAATAATGTAATAGGATATGGCTAAATATTCTTTCACAAACTATTATATCACATATGTATTTATTTTTTAGCTGATTTTTTGAAAAAAACCCAAAATTTACACAATTTTCAAGAATACCAAAAAAGTTTGAACATTTAAAAAAAATTTAATTTTTTTTTGTAAATATCCACATAAGTTGTTTGTAGAATACGCTCGTCGCTCAATTTGATAAGCACTTAAGCAATGTAAGCATGCTTACAGTATTATGATAATATTTAACTTGTTCGTTTGTGTTTGTATATTTGTTAATGAAGATTTCATCAGGACTTGCTCTCAAATGCATAGTCCTTTGACAATATGAATAGAACAGCTTCAAACTCATATGGAGGACATAATTACTACATTACTACGTAGTGCATTGACATATTAGTCTAATCATAATACACTTTAAGGAAAGAGGTCAGTTCTAGGAAATTGTGTAAGAAATCAAGTATGCGCTCCTACAAGAAAGACATAATACACAAATAAAAAGCTGTTCCAGCTGTTTAAAATTGGATTACCACTTCACACGGATCTGAATATACTTGGGAGAAAATGAATTGCTTAAGAATGTCAAATTTTGCACGGGATGATTATTAGTTAATGAGAGTTAAGAATGACAGGCGATGTAATGAACTAACACTATATGCATTATTCACTAAATTTCAATAAATATTTATATTAATAAGTAGCAAAAAGAGTAGAAGTTATTTCAGTAGATGTGATATCTATTATATATAAACCGGTGTATTGCAGTGTATTTGTTGATTTATATTTCGATTTGATTGTATATTTATTATAATATAATATTATCTAGTATATTTTTGTTATTATTGTATTATTACAAAACATAATAGGATTGTAATACCAAATTTAGTTTCAAATACCAGTGCACTAAAAATCATTAATTTTTATTTCAAATTTTGCGCCATTAATTTGAATGCCAAAAGCAGCGCCATCACGTCGAGCGGAGGACCCTTTAAGTATTCCTTCTGAACGTAAAAATCAGGCGAGAAAAGCGGTTATAACTGTATATGAACACGGGGTATTCTAATGTCTCGGAGCCAAGCTGTTTCTTTGTAAATCGCAGAGAAGTGAAACATTTTTCGTCCACGTTTTAGCCCGCAATTGTATCGATTCTAAAAATTCAAAAACCGTTCGAAAGTTATATTGGTTTGGAATCGACCAGATAAGTTTTTGGTAAAGATCGGCCGAACCGTTTTCTTGCAATAAAGTGTTAAACACAAACATGTTTACTTATTTATGGTGTTAAAAAAAATTGCTCTAAAATAGCGGATAATAAACACTTCTTTAGCAGTTTTTTATGAGATGGTAACGCGTTTTTAAACACCTTATATAAAATTGTTTGGTATACTCTTCTCTTCATTTATCTATGGTGTAGGTTATCATTTGCCGGCATTTAAGGAATTATAAGTAGATATTAAAAAAAATCTTATAAAGTAAATAAACAAATCTTTGTTATAGCATAACGAAAAACGTGGTTCGCATTTATTTATATATAATCAAACATCGAATTTCGAAGAAGACTTTGGGTACGCCATCCTTCAGTTAAAATATGTTTTTGTCGAAAATTCTATACGAGATTGTTTTTATGTTATTCACTAATTTTATCATTACTTTCAGCAAAGCTATAAAATATCTCAAAAAAATGTCTGCCGCTATGCCAATTAATCCAAAGCCATTTTTAAATGGTATGACAGGGAAGCCTGTCATGGTAAAATTGAAGTGGGGCCATGAATATAAAGGATTTTTAGTTTCTGTCGATGGATACATGAATATTCAATTGGCAAATGCAGAAGAACATATAGATGGTCAATCAACAGGTTTGTAATCAGCTACTTATATATAAAATGAAAAGAAATGTAAGGTGAGATAAATATCAAACATGAATCGTTAAACCCTACGTTGGGCCCAGCTGATTTGACAGATAGAGGGACAACATTTTAGTATGTTTTTCCATGATGTGATATCATTGAGACCTTCAGATCTCAGTTGCCTCATCATTTTATTCTACTATGTATTTGTCTACATTAGATTGTCTTTGAACTTAGCATATTTTGCCAGTAGAAATTTTATTGCAAGAAACACACTATGCCCGATTCTGTACATATTGGGACTGCGCCTGATGGGTTAAGTACTAATAATAGTGACGATACTAAGTGTGTGCATTTATATAGTATATTATATATGAATATACTTTTATTTTCAATGTAACATTAAAAGGCATTGTAGTATAACACAGTACTTACGCTCCAAAAACTACTGTGTTTTGCATATTTGAGCTATATGAAACAAAGGACTAGTACAAATTGGGGTTAGGTTCCAAAAATTTAAAAAAATACCATAAACATGCTATACATTTTCAAAATGAGGTTAAATGTATTTGTTTAAGTTTTTAAGAAGTTACACATATTAAATGTAAATATTTTTATCATCATGTTGAAATTCTATTTCGTTTTTGGCAATATATCATCAGCCTGTAAGCATTTTTCTGTATCAGAACCTTAGTTGCTCTATATTATTCAAAAAATCTATACTTTGCTTGCCCTTGGTTAAAAGATTTTTATAAATTTTCTTACATTTGGTAAAGTCAATGGCCTGTTCTAATGCTTTGTTGTATAAAGTCTTTTTGCCTTCACTTTTGCTAATACATACAACAAAACAGCCTTTCCAAAAAATATATAAATAACTTGTGACTTAAGCAAAATCCGAACCTTCATTTTCAACTTCTGAAAAATTGAAAAACTCTGTAGAAAGATTTAAAGCTTTGCCATAGGTTCATATGATACCCAGTTTCTTTATATTATTATTATCAATATCATTATAAAAAAATAAAATAAAGAAGATTGTTCCCAAATTAAAAAGAAATGTTAAAGTTGGAGAACCCTTATTTAAAAATAAGTTTTTCCGAAGTTAAATTAAATTAAGAAAATTTTAATCAAAATTCAGTGTAAAACATTTATTCTCGGCATGCGGGATGATAAATTATTTGATTGATAAAATGACTTACAAAATAGGGGTTTATGGTGAGAGGGTGAAAATTTAGAGCTGTATGTGTTTGTTCATTACGAATTATAAAAAAACATTGGGCAAACAACTAAAAAAGAATCATAATGATGGCCAACCCCTAGTACTTATCAATGAATAATAGAGATTGGCCGATTCTCAGTCATATTTATAACATAAAAATTTTAAGATATCCATAAGTTGTGAGTACCAAATTGACTATTATCCAGTTGAAAAAACTTTTTCCTTTAGTGAAATTTGAATTAAAATTCAAATATAAATGACTTTCATTATGACCAAAAAGTAAATAACATAAATAAAATGTATTCAAAATAAAATGGCGAATCTAAAAAAAATTGATATGTTAATTCTAACTAAAATCCGTTGGCAAACACATGTATGAAGTTGAGGTAATTCTTTATCATTTATATTAACTTCACTAAAATATTTTGGTTCATTATTTGTTTATTCTTATTTTTGAAATTGAATTTAGTTTCAGTTATTTTTTAAGAGTAATTATTCATTTGAGCAGATTTTTTCCCAAAATGGGCTGAAAGTTTTATTCTATTTGAAAATAATTTTATTAATTCATTATTATTTATTCAAATAAAAATTTAATAAAACTGAAAAACCCGTTGAAAAAATGTACTGATTTATGTAATTGTATCAGATTTGAACAGGTATATGATATGCAGTTTAAAGTTTCTATAAAAGTGTTTTCAGTAGGTAATTGATTTTTCTCATTACAGGTAGTTTGGGAGAAATTTTAATCCGATGCAACAATGTTCTTTATGTGAGAGGCATTGAAGAAGAAGATGAAGAAGGGGAGATGAAGGATTGATTTTTAAGCTATTTTATTGTATTTTTAAGATTATCTAGGAGAAAATAAAATTTTTAATTTTAATAACAAATCTAAGTTTTTTCTATTTATTTTAGATTTCTAATTATTTATCCGATTTGAATTTGTACAAATCACATTGAGATTTACCTCTCATATTGCGGTTAATTCAATTTTTTTTTATCATGCTTATTGCCAATTTCTTAATTAACATACAATTAAGTATTTAACATACAATTCAGGGTAATTCGTAGTGCGCTCTATGGAACCTTACATAGTGCAGTATGGGAACCGCCGCGCTCATTCATTTTTATATTGTCTAGGCTCAGATTTGGTACAAATCGCACCATTTTTATTGTGCTGTATGGAGACCAAGAAATACAACTTGAAGTAGGAGTAATACGGACGAAATAACATATATGACATTGACACCTTATTCAAAAATTGGCACGACGCTAGTCAGCTGAAATGTGTACTTAGGCAGCTATTATATAATCAGGAATGTCTAAAAGATAAAAGACGATAACAAAACTTACATTTATACCCTTTTGCTATCAAGTTACTAGAATCACTCATAGGTTGCACAACGAACTTATGGGCTGTTGAAAAAATACCGTGTAGTCGGAGGGATGTCGGATTTTTTAGCTCCGTGTAGTACAGGAACCGTGTAAAGCGAGGGTCTTCTACTGCATATAAAATGTAACACCTCACCGCTAGACGGCTTCAAATACAAAAATTAATTTATGAACAAAATAAAAAAGCGACTTTGGTTTTTCATATTTATCAATATTAGAATTTTGTATTCATATTGTTCCTAGGACACATTATAAAACATCGGTTTATTAACTTCCTGAAGAAGAAGTTTATGTTTCCATAGAAAAATCCGATTCGCTATTTTTATTTTTTCTCGACGTTTCAAGCCATTCTGAATCGAATAAGACCAAATTTGGAAAAAGTATGTGCGTGCGTGTGTGTGTGTGTAAACAGATTTTTTGCCGTAAAAGGTCGTTTTCTCAAAAACGCCTGAACCGATTTCAGAAATTTAAAAGCCATTTGATGTATCTCAATAAGGACTATCGTTTGTCAGTTTTGTGCGACGATCTGCCCCGACGTTTCTTTGTAATTTGGAAAAAACTTTTCGTCCACATTTAAGCTCATACTGCCAATCGATTTTAAAAAATTAAAAACTCTTTGAAAGATATTATTATAAAGATATTATAAAGATTAGTTGGGAATGATACTAAGTAATTAGTTTTAGATGAAAATCTACCGGGCCGTTTTCTTGTAATTAACTGTCGAAAAAAAAATTAAGCCGATTTTTATGAAACTTTTTGGCTATATATATATATACTAGCAAACCCGACGAACTCCGTTTCGCCACCAGATGGTTTCGTGAGAAAGATGAAGAAATTTTTTGTTTGTTTTATATTTGAAAAGGAAAAATTTGATTTTATTATACAACAGTATTGAATTTATTTCGATTACAAAAATAAAGTGCTTTTTCGTTGAACTTCTCTAAGTAAATGAAAGTGAATCCGCAAATTATCCGTTTCATTGAAGTGCTTTTTGGTAAACCACATTTTTTGTTTTTTGGTCTGACGTTAACACAAACAAAGCGGATGGTTTTCCAACTCGTGAACAAGGCAACGTATAACTGCCCATGTGAAAAATAATAATTTTCTAAATAATCTATTTGAAATTTATCCCGCAAACACTAAGCGATTGGCCTTGCGACTTGTTATTGCGAACGCAAGGCGAACTGGAAATTGCAATCGTTTGAAGTCAAACAGAAAACCAGTCGGAATCATTGGTATGTCACCAAATCGCCAGCAATTTTTGATTGAATGGTGAAATTCAGTGCGTGTACTAATGTAATTACTCGAATTTTTAATTACGGTGCGTGAAGTTCCAGTAGCTTGCATTAAGGCACGATGCCGTGCACAACTAATTTTCTTAGCTATAAACCTTGCGGAGCCCAAGATCTTTCCAACGAATGCAAAATTGACGAAATCGGTTCGTGCGTTCTGGAGTTATTTCGTCAGGAAGGAAAACTCGACTTATTTTTATATATATATATATATATATATATATATATATATATGTAGATAATCTATTTGAAATTGTTTTAAACAATTGTTGATTATTTTCATTACTCGAATTTTTAATTACGGTGCGTGAAGTTCCAGCAATTTGCATAAGGGCACGATGCCATGCACCCACGAATGCAAAATTGTCGAAATCGGTTCGTGCGTTCTGAAGTTATATCGTCAGGAAGGAAAACCCGACTTATTTTTATATATATAGAAGATATATATATATATATATATATATATATATATATATATATATATATATATAATATATATATACATATATATATATATATATATATATATATATAATATATATATATATATACCTAAGTCTGTTTTTACACGGAGATTGGTTCCAGAAGAATCCGTGTAAAAAAAAAAACGTGTAAAAAAAGACATTGATCTTATACAAAAATGGGTGATTTGTTCCTAATCTCTAAAACCTATTAAAATTGGTGAAGAACAAGAATTAAATTAGTGCTATTCACATTTGCTTTGACCAGTAAAAATTGTTTGTACGCGCTAAAGGGGAATTCACTTGAATCTTTAAGCTAGTGTTCGCAAACTATCGATACTATCGATGGTTTCAGACTTTTTTCTTTCATAAATACTTTTTTGTGATATGAACATACTTCGCAAAAATTAAATTTGACAAAAAAAATTTAAGTACATAAAATTTCAAATCGTGCTAAATGGAATAAAATCGTGTAAAAAAATTAAAAATATTCAATTTTCAAACCGTGTTATATCAAAACCGTGTACAAAAAGACCGTGTTAAAACAGACTTAGGTGTATATATATATATATATATATATATATATATCTATATATATATAAATCTCGTGTCACGATGTTGGTTCGCGATGGACGCCCAAACTACTGGACCGATTTTAAATTTTATTGGATCATTGTGTGCATATATATCTAACTTAGGTTATAGGAAATTTTGAAAAGTAAATTTAAAATATAAATATATAATTTTTATAAATTTCTAAAAATTTTGACAGAAAATGGCCAAAAAAAAAAACAAAACACTAAAATGACAAATGTCAAAATGTATGGAAAACTCGAGAAAAAAAGATTTATGATTTTTGAAAAAAAAATTTGACAGTTCAAAAAATTTAATTCAAAAACATACATATATAGATATACCCAGCATTTATATCCAAATTAGATGAAATGCTATATTCAAAATCACAATTTATAGTTTTAAATCTAATTAAAAGTCAATGTTTATAAATTTGAATTAATGTTGACATGAAAATCGTCAAATGTCATTTGTCAATATTTATGAAAATAATTATATAAATAGATTTACAGTTTATATTTATTTGATTAGCTTACCAAATTATTTCGGATACCAAAACTTCATCATAACCTTATAGATCAGAGATCAGAATAAAAAAGCGACATATTGAATTTAAAATTAATCATAAACAAAAATTTGACATTTCACAAAAAAAATGTTTAACGACTTCAATAAGAAACAAATAAATTAATTATTCCAAGTTATATTGCCGAACAAATTATAGATACAACACAATATTGTAAAATAAATATCATATATTAATTTTCGATCAAAAAGGAAATATTTTGACATTTACAAATATACTGCATATTGAATATATGAAATTGACATTCACTGTTTTTCAATTAAATGAAAATGTAAAAAATCAAATATTTATATAAAAATTGTATATTCAGATAAAGATACTGATTTGTTAATTTAGACTGAAACCTGATTTATTCATTAATTTAAAAAAAAAATGACAAACAAAATTAAAATAAACAAAACACCTGCATCATGCGTTCGAGTTAATTAACGAAGTGTAAAGAAATTTGTGTAATCAAAATAAAATATTATTATTATATGAGTTGAGATAAATTTTGATTGCCATCGCAAAAGTTAATCATACAGAAAATTGTAACCTCTTAAATGGAATAGTACAATCTGAAGGTATCATTGCAATCTGACAAAAACAAACTAGACAAACTAAATATTATATCAAATTATATTAAATTTCGATCCAAAAGAAAATATTTTGACAGTTATAATTAATTTGAAATGAAATGCAAATGTCAAAAATCAGATCTTTACGTAAAAAATATTTATTTCCACAATATTCCTGTGTTGAATTTGCACTTTTTTATGAATTTAACAATCATATAATATATTCATTGATGACTTAAAATAATTATTAATTTATAAAAAATAAATATTGACGTATTTGACATGACAAAAGTATAATAAACAAAACGCTATGATGCGAGTGAATTAATTTTTGAAGTATGAAATGTCAAATAATTTTGAAAATTATAATAAGTTTTTAACTATTTGTCAGAAAGAATATATTTTATTACAAATTGATACCCATATCAAGCACCAAAGTAATAAATACTATTTATAAAATGACATATTATTTTAATGCATATTTTAATTATATGTTTTATATAAATATCGAATAAATATATTTATGTTTCACTTGATTTCAATGAAAATAATTCAATGCCAAAATAAAAAGTATACATCTAAAATTATAGTCTAAATATTATAATTTTGATAAATAATCATCCATTATTTTACAGTACGAAAATTGATAAAAAATTAATAAAAGTGCCAAAAATCAAACATTTTATAGATTTGGACTCGGATTTCTCAGAACTTTATCCATGTTAGTTTCAGGGATAGTATGAATATCAATTTGCAGTCGAAAATTTATATGATAAGTGATTAAAACGTTATAGATCACAATAAAAAAGCGACATATTGAATTTAACATTAATCATAAACAAAATTCTGACAGTTCAAAAAAAAATGAATTTTTAACGACTTCAATAAGATACAAATAAATTAATTATTCCAAGTTATGTTATAGGCAATATTGGCAATCAAATTATAGATATAAATTATATCATATTATATTAAATTTCGAACCAAAAAGGAAATATTTTGGCATTTAAAAATTTAGTGCATATTGGATATATGAAATTGACATTCAATATTTTTCAATTAAATGCAAAAGTAAAAAATCTGATATTTATATAAAAATTATATATTTAGATAATGGTACTAGATGATTCAGACTAAAATCTAATTTATTCATTGATTAAAAATATTTCACTATTTGCCATAAATAAAATTAAAATAAACAAAGCACTATGATGCGTTCGAATTAAATATCAAAATGTAAAGAAATTTGTGTAATAAAAATATAACATTATCATTAATATATCATGTATATTATAAAAACTTCTGCAATGCGGCAAAATATTTTTGATGGCAAAACAGCGTTTGCCGGGTCAGCTAGTATATATATATATATATATATATATATATATATATATATATATGCATGATAAAATTGTTTCTTGGGCATCCATCTAGTAATTAAAAACAGTTTTATTGAAAGAAAATGTTTTTATTCAGAGAATATACGTTTCGGGTCTTGATTTGACCCATCTTCAGTGCTACAATTAACTACTTCAGGGCTACAATTTAAAACAATATAAAAAATACATAATTACAGACAAAAATAAATAAAAACATGTAAAAAACATAAATTTAACCAATTTAATAAATTTGTTTTAAAACAAATATATATTGTGAAAGTATATATGTGAAAAGTATATATGAAAAACAAACATAAAATAAACAAATGTAAAGAAACTAACCATACAAATAAATTTGAAAAAAAAACACAAAATTGCACAAAAAAAATAAATATGAAAACAAAAATTGATAAAACTTCGAGTTATGATAAATTTTTAAAAAAATGTAAAATTAAAATAAATAATATATTTTATTATAAAAAAGCTTATTCCAAACGAACATGTTGTCAGCTTGGAGTGCATACTGAAACGGAAACTGTATCGTCATTGGATGAGAGAACGGGATGGAGAGAATTTTAGTGGTTTCATATTACGAAGATTTTCTCAGCGATCATGCGCAGCAGGAACATACAAAAAAAAAATATATATATATATAGCATGTGGAAACAATCCATAATCAACGGTTAAACATAATATGTTGTCAAAAACGAAAATATATAAACATAATAAAACCATGATAGACAACGTAAAAATGAAAAAATATGTGATCAAGAGAAATTTATTAAGAAAGAGTATAAATATTAACTATAAAACGATATTAGTTATGGAACAAGTTATTATATAAAAATTATAACTTAGTATAATATATATGTATATATACGCAAAAGAATCAAATACATATATGTTTACATATATACAAACATATGCACACGTACATATACACATATGGGGACCAGAGGCAAGGTCAAAGCGGAGGTTTTTAGTTGGTATTATACCAGGGCGGTATCGAGTCCAACAAACCCAGACAGAAGACCAGTCTGGAATGCATAAATGCATTTCCTTTGCTATAAAAAAACACATATACACATATATGTAAACACATATACATACATATATACCACAAACAAATGGTTGCTATCTTCACCTCTGACGCGGAAACACATCCGCCTAAAAAATCGTCTGTAGAAAATAACTGGACGAAAGTGGCCCGACGAAGTTTGAAGGAGAAAGGAGCACCGGATCCGAAAATAACCTTGGAGGAAACCTTAGAAAAAATCGAAACAAATGATAGTGCTAAGCACAGAAACAACCATCATAGGACAACTCGGAGGAAACATAGAACCAAGGCTGTTCTGGTTCAACCAGCTGAAGAACGAAGTAAACCCGACTGAGACTGGCGTGGATATAAAGTCCATCAAACAGACAAGAAATGGAGGTGTATTACTGGCAATGAGTCCCAAGTCCGAAGATAGTGCAGCCCTTGCAGCAGCGATAAGGGCAGCAACTGAAAACATAAGAACAGTGAAATCAATGACGCCGCTGACGACGATAGAGATTCTTGACCTTATTGGTGTCTCTACCGAAAACGACGTTCACAAAGCACTCATTCGAGACTTTACGACAAAACTGGAAATACGAAAAGTGAACTTGACCAAAGTCACATCAAGAGGACAACGAGCGGCCTTTTGTGAGATAGATGAGGCTAATGCAGTCAAAGCCCTAAATAGGAATAAGAATTGGGTGGGTTAACTGTCGCATTCGCCCAGTTGTTAAAGTGGCCCGCTGCTTTAGATGCCTCGGTTTCGGACACCAAACGCATAAATGCGGGGGACCAGACAGAAGCAAGTATTGATACAAATGCGGTGGGGAAAATCACAGGTCTGTAGACTGCACGGAAAAACTAAAATGCTTTCTATGTACAAGAAGACCGGAACAGCGGGAGCCATGTCGCCGGATCCGGTATCTGTAAAGTATTCCGTGTAGCACTTGCCGAAACCACGAGAGAACAGAAATGACGCGATTTCTACAAGGTAATCTGGAATAGATGTGCCTTAAGGCACATCTGCGCCAATTGGCGCAGAATCTACTGCGCAACGTATCTTCGAGGATATGATCAATATCTGCCTTATCTGCGAGCAATATATGAACATATGAACACCGAAATCTCCTGCTCTGATGAATTGTATCGTAGCGGAACTATTCCCTAAACATCCGCCACGGAAAAGAAGACAAAACGTGGAAAACAGTGAAACTACACCCTTCACTGTCAAGAAACTCTAAGATGCGGCGAAAACCATAAAGGCTGGCAAAGCACCAGGCCCTAATGGCATCCCAGCCTCAGTGATCAAGACTGTAGCCTTGGAACTTCCGTGTATTCTTCTGAACTACAATGCCTGTCTGGCGACCGGCACCTTTCCTACGGTCTGGAAGCGGCAAAGATTGATCCTAATAGACAAAGGTAAGGGACCCCCTGTAACACCATCGTCGTTTCGACCACTCAGCATGTTAGACATTGCCGGTAAACTGCTTGAGAAACTTATTCAATGCAGACTGGGCAACGACATTGAATGCGCCGGACGTTTTGCCAAGAACCAACACGGATTTCAAAAAGGACGATCGGCGCGATTCGGAAGGTAACGGAAACAGCAAGAGAAGCATGGCGTGGTAGTCTTAAAGCTCGTAAAGTGTGTCTCCTTCTCACATTCGACGTTAATAACGCATTTAACAGTGCGAATTGGAAGGATATTTTACACGCCCTAGAGCATAATTTTGATGTAAAGCCAGAAAATCTAGGACCTGGAAACGACGGAAGGTAATCAAGAAGACGAGGTTACAGCTGGTGTACCTCAAGGCTCAATCTTGGGAGCCGATCTGTGGAACGCTGTCTACGACGAGCTCCTGGAGATCCCCTTGCCGAAGCAGGTTGAACTCACGGGCTTTGCGGACGACGTCGCAACTACAATTGTAGTGGACAGCACTGAGGAAGCTGAACTACTTGTTCGAGAAACCGTCGATACCATAGAGACCTGGCTTGAGAAATACCACCTAAAACTCGCCAAACAGAAAACGGAGATCTCGCCAAACAGGAAATGGAGATGGTCTTGAACCTTGTCCCGACAAAAATGGTTTCTAAAACCATTCACTGTAGACATAGGAGAGACAACTTTGACGTCGACAAGGGCCTTGCGTTACCTGGGAGTAATGATAGATGAGAAGCTATCCTTCCGTGAACATCTCGATAGTGCATGCATAAAAGCTAGTAAGACGGTATCCAACTCGTCAAGGATTATGGCAAACTGCATGGGACCACGAACCCGAAAACGACGAGTCCTGCTTGAGGTAGTCCATTATATACTGCTATACGGAGCAGAGATATGGGCGGATATCCTCAAGCAAAAAACATATCGGCGCAAAATAGCGTCAGTGCAAAGACTAGGAGCTCTAAGAGTTACCTGTGCCTATCGCACGGTCTCTGAAGCAGCTGTATTGGTAAAAGCAGGACCATACCAATTGACTTGCTAGCATTCGAAAGAGTTAAACTTTACGACGCTAAAATAGGTGGCGACAGCTCCAAAGAAACAAGGTCAAGAATAAAAAAAAAACTTTACAAGAGTGGCAAAATCGGTGGACGTTAGGAGAGACGGGCAGATGGACGGCGCGTCTGATTCCGGACATTGGCGTCTGGCTCTCTCGACAATACGGGGACACAGATTTCTTTCTGACCCAGCTACTGACAGGATATGGACAGTTTAATGTCTATCTTTTTAAGATGGGCTTGCATAGCACGCCAATGTGCAAATACTGTCCCGATAAAATCGACGGCGCTGAGCACACGTTCTTTGAATGTGCTCGGTGGAAGGACTAACGTAACAACGCCGAGCACATTATAGGCACCATGCTCACCCCCTCAAGTCTTGTGATCTACATGATGAAACAAGAAGAAAGTCAGCTGTAGCAGCTTATGCACAGCATCTTTTAAAGGCTAAAACTGGAGAAAAGGACCAGTAGTCGAAAGCAGGCGTCGCAAGGCGCAGCACGGACTGGATTGATGTAGTGCTAAAGCGGTTCCAATCCAGTCTTCTCCGTACCATCTGCGGGGAGAGGGGAGAGGAGTGTTTTTTTCAGTGGGTAAAAATCTCCACAAATAAACATTCCTTCAAATTCACCAATCCAAGAGTTATCCATTGCAGAAATCTGTTAAGAGGAGAGGCAATTTGTGAAGATCACTCGGCCAGCATGTGGGTTCGCCATTTGTCAGGATCTTTAACGCGTTTGGACAGTTCTATAGAGTTCGATATGCCAATCGAGATCCCCAAACGGCATGCTTTGCAGTCTTCTCCCGCAATTAATTTAAAGTGAAATGTTTTAAAAAAAAATTTCAAATTGTTCACTGGTAATCTTGTATTTTGGTGGACAGTAAAATTCAAATATTCAAATATTCTAATAATTCTAATGAAGTAGTTTGTTTGTAATGTTTGATATTTTTTCTTATTAAATTCCTGAAGGAGAAGTTTGTTTTCATAAAAGATGCTAATTTTTGCTAATTGTATGTTTTCTCGACGTGTGAAACCACTCGGAATTGAAGGAAACCAAATTTGGAAAAAGTATGTGTGTGTGTGTTTATTTGAGCCAATTTTCGACCCTTTCTCAAAAACGGCTTTAAATTTCAAAAACTTGAAAGCTATTCAATGTATCTCGATAAAGACTTGCGTTTGTCAGTTTTGTTGGATAATCGTCCGAGCCGTTTCTTTGTTAGTAGCAGAAAAGTGAAAATTTTTTCGTCCACGTCCAAGAGAAAAAAAATTCAATAATTCATCAGAATTTGAAAAAATATAATAGTCAAAATTTGTGTCAAAAGTCGCTTTTGCGATGAGATTTCGTTTTGTCAATGCACGCAAAATTATATATTATCATGATATTATCATTATTCGTTCTCTTAAAAACTACCATTTTTGACCATATTTCTAAAACGGCTGGACCTGTCTTTTCCAAAAACTAATCACCACTTCTCCCCGTCATTACGAATTGAACCTCTTTCGAATTCAAATCCGGTGCTCCGTTCTTTTAATAAACTTGATTTCTATTTTTTGCACTCTTTACTTCGCATCTCCGAAACGGCTGGACCTATCTTTGCCAAAAACTCAGAAGAGTGAGTAAAATTATAGAACCTTACTGAGGATGATCATGAAAAATTAAGAGATTTGGATCGGAGCCATACTGCGAAAAGAATGCCTTCTATACGACATCGTCATTGGTAAAATAGAAGCACTAAAAGTTCTGGGAGAAGAAGAATGGAGATGATGATGGTGCAATTGAAAGCCAATGCACGGGATCAGAAAGCATGGTAACAGAAGTATGGAACGAAAAATGCATAAAACAGTAAATAGTAGCAATGAAATGGTAATGGAAGCACTAACCAAGGGAGGGAAAGGGAATCATTAATTTGTGCTCTCGCACAATGAGCATACCTTTGGACAAAATCATTTTTCATCATTTTCTTCGAAACGCACGTCTTCCCATCAATAAGTATCGAATGGTGTTTGAATAATACAGAACGATTGATCCGTGTTCTCGAAATCGTAAACAAAATATTGTATCCAAACATACAGACATATTCATAAGGCATACTATGGTTTGCCAAACAGTTCAGACCATGAACTCAATGATATATTGATATATTATTAACTTTTCGAAAGTTTGTTTTCATAAAAAAATCGATTCGCTAATTTAATGTTTTCTCGACGTTTCAAGCCATTCTGAACCGAATGAGACCAAATTTGGAAAAACTATGTGTGTGTGTGTGCGCGCGCGTGAACAGATTTTTCACCGTAAATTGATGTTTTCTCAAAAACGGCTGCATCGATTTCAAAAATTTAAAAGCCATTCGATGCATCTTAGGGGCAGTGAAAATTCAGTTTTAACTAATCTTTCATCTACTAAAGACACAAATTATTCTCTTTGGTAGGCAGCGAAGAGATGAAAATGACCGATGGTACATATACCTCCAGTGCGTAAACTTGATGGTTTTTGGGCAAGAAGTTCAGAAGAAAAATCGGAAGAATTTTCAGAACACTTGAAAAATACATTCTAGCCTTATCCCCGCAGTTGCAACTTGAACGATGAAGATTTTATTCACAATTGTTTACAGAATGAATCTATACCAGGCCAAATTGTAAAACGCATAATAGTGCAGTAAACGGAGCGTTTTAGGTCTGAATTTTTTTACTGTGCTCCGAATTGAATGAAATTTTGGAATTAGGTTCATCTTACCCTCAAGTTCAAAAGTGAAAACAATTCGGGTTGCGCCATCACCCCCCGGGGGGATGACACCCCATTCTGAATTGTGTAATTACTTTTTTTTCAAAATAACATCGGAAATCGATAGACGAACTAATTATAAGAAAAAATGTCTTTTATAGTTTTTTTTAAAAAACTAATACTTTTCAAGTTATGAATGTTTAAAGACTGCGCGGCCGCGCAAATTGGAAAAAAAAGTTTTTATAAAATCGCGAGTTTTCTGAAAGTGGTTTGTACTAAAGTAGTGAATCTGCTAGAATCCATCAAGATGTCTATAATGAAGTGAATTCTAGATGGAATGTAAATTACTTTAATTCTGGTGGAAATGGCGCTCATTAAACCATATGATTTAAAAGGAAAAAACTTCGTATATGCTTCTTATTTGCATGATAGCTCACTCATTTTACAGGCAAAAAACTTGTAACAGCACTCATTTTAAAGCTTATGTTGAGCACTATAAAACCCAATTTCACGGAAATGCATAAAATGTAAAACCTCGACACTAGATGGCTTTAAATACAACAATTAAATCTTGAACGAAATGAATAACGACTTTGCTCTTTCAAATCTTTCTTAATATTTTTCCTAGAACACTTTATGTAATACCGATTTATTAAGATTTTTATTGACATTATTTTGTTCATCACATGATTTTTGTTAAAATGTATATTTTAGGAGATATTTGCAAAAAAACAAAGAAAAACGCAAAAAATATATGAATCTTTGGTGGCCAGTAACTTGAAAAGTATTAGTTTTTTAAAAAAACTATAAAAGACATTTTTTCTTATAATTAGTTCGTCTATCGATTTCCGATGTTATTTTGAAAAAAAGTAATTACACAATTCAGAATGGGGTGTCATCCCCCCGGGGGGTGATGGCGCAACCCAAATTGTTTTCACTTTTGAACTTGAGGGTAAGATGAACCTAATTCCAAAATTTCATTCAATTCGGAGCACAGTAAAAAAATTCAGAGGTTATACCCTTTTTTCCTCTCCGTTTACTGCACTATAACGGTGACCGAATTAAAATATTATGTCAAGGATGCAAATTCTAATAAATTTCCTGGGCCAGATAAAATTGCGATAAAAATGATAAAAGAACTGCCAGAAAAGGGATTTAGATTATTATAATAATATTCAATTCAATTTTAAGATTAAAAGTGTTCCTCCAAGCTTTGAAAATAGCTAAAATAATTCTTATACCTAAACCTGGGAAAGACCCTCATTTATTGTCTTCCTATAGACCAATAAGCCTACTTCCTTGTGTTTCGAAGATATTTGAAAAATTATTACTCCAACGCATTAAGTCAGAATTGTTGAATCAAAACCTAATTCCAAATGACCAATTCGGCTTTAGAAAGATCCTCTCTGGAGTGCCACAGGGAAGCGTTCTTTCTCCAACTCTATTTCTTATATTCACAGCGGATTTTCCTTTATACTCCGGAACAAGCGTGTCGACATTTGCTGACGATACATGTATCATTGCCTCCGATAATGATCCCGCAATACCTTCGCAACTATTACAAGAACATCTAGATATTGCTACAAAATGGCTTTCTTTATGGAGAATTATGACAAAGGGCTCAAAATCTACGCATGTCACTTTCACGCTGCGTACTGGTATATGCCCTACAATTAAGTTAAATGGACAGGAAATCCCAGTAAAGATATCGTAAAAATCTCGGAATACACCAAGACTCAAAATTGAACTGGAGAGTTCACATCAACAAGAAAAAACAGCAGATTGATGAACTACTATTTAAAAAAACATTACTGGCTGCTGAATAAACAATCCGAACTGTCGACAAACAACAAACTAATTATTTACAAATGTATTTTCAAACCAGTGTGGTCTTATGGGATTCAACTATGGGACACCGCCAAAAAAACAATATACAGATTAATCAGCGAGTGCAGAACAAGATCATACGGCAAGCACTGAACGCACCCAGGTACGTTCCCAACTGGTTGATTCACCAGGACAGCAACATGATGACAGTAAATGAAGTAATCAACAAAAAACAGACAACTATAAAAGAAGAATTGACGAACACCCCAAATTACTTGGCATAAAAAGTATTCTCAGAAGCGCCCCCAACCAGGCTAAAACGAAAATTCCCGTTGATCTCATAAATAGCCATTTGTAATCGCTAACATTAATATTATTATTATCTTATTTCTAATATTGTTATTTTGTTATATTTTATTGTTTTTCTAGTATTATTT